CCAGCTGTCCTGGAACTTGCTATGTAGACCAGGCTGGTATCTTTGTGAAAAGATCTGCCTGCCTCTGCCTCCCAAGTGCCAGGATTAAAGGTGTGCACCACCATGCCTGGCTGGCTTCTTGACTCTTTACCCCAAAGTAGATGGCTCCTTCCCATCCTATCTGAGGCAGATCCTCGTTGCTCTTGAGTACCTGACTTGGCTATTTTTAGTGGATATTCTTATTGAAGGAAGAATCAGATGACTGAATTCATCACCCCCACCCAAGCTTTCCAGTAATCAAAGGGGTTTCACTCACATGGTCTCCAAACCACACTTCTTCTAGGATTTCTATTAACGAGTGGAGTCAGATACTGTACCTCCCCTCCCTACAGCTATGGTGGGTTCAAGTTCCCTCCTGCCCTCTGCCTCTCCCTCTCTCTCTGGAGCACCATATACAGTGGTGGCACAGGGTGTTTACTGCACAAGACCACCCAAGTAGACCGATGGGAAGGGGCAAATCCAGCCCACAGTACCCACACTGTCATGCCCAAGGCCATGTTCTTTTCCAGCAGAATATGACTTTTTTCTAGTTGTTCTCAGGTGTGGGCGTCCTTCACAACCCGCTCCCACTCCTCCATTGGTTTTCTCCTATCATAACAGGGCAGATCCCAGGGCAGTGTTTACTCAAAGTGCCTCAGGAGGGGAGGAGAGGGGAGAGGAGCGGCACAGCAGCTGTCTCTCCTGCAAGGAGCTTGGCCCTTGGGTTTTCATCCCCCTTATCAATGCTGCAAGTTGCCTCTCAAAATTGCTCTGCCGTCATTAACATTATGAATCAGGTCAGATGAAGGCCGTTTGCAGTCTTGGATAGCAAGGCAAAGCGCTGATGCTGACTATTCTAGATCTTCTGGGCACAGCCCATTCCGTGCTCGCAGTTTTTAATCAGAGGGAGGATCGGCACTTACATGGCCGGTGGGCCAGGGACAAGATTGGTTCTGATCTGGTTTCCAGGTACATGGAACCAGTCTGCAGCACCTATTGGGCCTCCAGAGGGCTTGCCTGCTAACCTGTGACCACAGACAGTACTAGCAGACCTTCTAAAGAACGAATCCATCCAGTGGCAACACCCAGGGGTTAGCTTTTGAGCCGTCAGTGAGTCATCTGAGCAAAGGCCAGGAGGCTGGGCCTTCCTGGGCCTCGTCACCAAGTTTCATGTTCTGGGTCTAGGTGGTTGGCCATAGGGCTGCAGAGTGCCTTTCAGACTACTTCTTTCGTGCCCTCTTGTGATTAGGTTTCAGCCCCTTGCATCTCTAGCTTAAATCCTACAGGTACCCTTGAGGAATACAGTGTGGCCTCACCCTGCCGGCTGGCCCAGCCTAATTTCGGCTCATATCCATCGGCCAGTGACCACAGGTCAGAGTGTGGCCTTCACTGCCCCCCTGCTGAAGCAGTATAGCCAAGGAGCTGACACCTGGCAGAGCCATGCAAACACTCCCCAGCTCTCTCCCTGCTTGGGCAGTTGGAGTTTGAGATGAGCCTTGAGACCCAGCCCTTGTGCTGGGTCACTCATACTGTCAGCCTCTGACCACCAGGACTTGTAAGACCTCACCCTCGTCATCCCAGAATCACCTCCTCTTTGAGGTTCCTCTGGTTCTCTCCTTCGTCCCTGAACCCCCTTGCCCCAAGGCCCTTTATGCCAACCTCAGTCAGTGTATCCAGAGGTCCACCAGCTTGGGAAGCTTCAGGGACTTTTTCATCCTGAGCCTAGGACAGCCCTCCCCTCAACAAAGAAAGTCCCCCACATAGTTTGCTCTGTTTTGCCAATGAGCCGGCAACAGAAATGCAACCACCAGGAAGCTATGGAGCAACACAGACCACATGTTTCTACAAAGAAATCCCAGAGTCACCACTCTAAACACTGTCCCTTTACAAGGTCACCTGACTGACTTTCAGCCTCACCTGTGAACAACACACACTGACTTTCTATGGTGGCCCTCCCCAACAGGACCTCACTGTAGAGATAGAAAGTAAAAGGGAGCCAGGTGTGGTGGCACACGCCTTTAATCCCAGCACTCGGGAAGCAGAGGCAGGTGGATCTCTGTGAGTTCAAGGCCAGCCTGGTCTACATAGTGAGTTCCAGGACAGCTGGGGCTAAAGGGATGCCCTGTCTCAAAAAAGACCCACCCCCGACACACAAAAGAAAGTAAAAGGGAGTCAGGGAAGAAAAGACAGCTTGATGAGTTACCCCACCCTGGTCCCATGCCCACAACACACATGCAGGAGAAGGTGTGGCCGCCTGCTTCCTTCCTACAGCCAGCATCCAATCATGATGCTGCTGCGTTGCCCAGTCATTAAGAGTTGTGGTTTTATTTGTTTTTTCTTGAGACAGGGTCTCATTATACAGCTATGGAACTCATTATGTAGGCCAGGCTGGCCTTGAACTCACAGAGATCCTCCTGCCTCTGCTTTCTGAGTGTTGGGATTAAAGGCATTGTGCCACCATGCCCAGCTTTAGAGCTGTGGGTTTTTTGTTTTGTTTTTTAAATTTTATGTGTATGAGTGTATTGCCTGCATGTGTGTAAGTGCACCTGTGTCATGCAATGCCCACGGAGGTCAGAAAAAGGTGTCAGATCCCTAGAACTGGAGTTATGGATGGTTGTTAGCTACCATGTGGGTGCTGGGAATTGAAACCAGGTCCTCTGCATGAGCAGCCAGTGCTCTTAACCGATGGGTAATCTCTCTAGCCCCCTTTTTGAACATCTTAATTCTTTTATATTTTTTTATTTTTTGTCTTTTTGAGACAGGGTCTTCCTGTTCTGGAACTCACTATGTAGATCAGGCTGGTCTTGATCTCACAGAGATCCATCTGCTTCTGCCTCCCAAGTACTAATTTTTACGTGTACAAGTGTTGTGCCTGCATGTATGTAAGTGCACCTGTGTCATACAATGCCTCTAACCAGTAGAGGGTGTTAAATCCCCTGGAACTAGAGTTAAGAATGGTGGGTAGCTGCCATATGGATGCTGGGAACCAAACCCCGGTCCTCTGCAAGAACAGCCAGTGCTCTTCCCGCTGAGCCATCTTCCCCAGCCCCTAGAGTTGTTTTAAAGCATATTCATAAGTTTTGGCATGTCACTTAAAAGAATCTTTCTGCTTTTGTGTATTGTTCTGTTACATGGTGTTATTAGAAATTCAGCTCATTCCAAGAAAGCACAAAGCCCAGCAATACAAACTTCACATTATCTATGCTGTTAATTCTCTTATACCATATTGAATGGTAGTTTTAGAAACATATTGAATAGTAGCCCACTTGTGGTTCAAACCTGGTTTTATTCTAAATTTGCAATCATTTAAAAATCCAAAAACAATTAAAAGCAAAGGAGACTGAACTGGTCTTTGTGGAGGGAAGCCTGCCTGAGGTTCCCCAGGGAATTACTGTGCGCCTGGCTGTCTGCCCCGGGTGATGGAGTGGAGTCCAGCTCATCCTGAGCCGTGAGTAAACAGAAAACACATGTGGGAGTCCAAAGAAAATGTTCTCATGTTTGCCTTGGACTCTGGCTGTGCCTGATGTATTGGAAATTGATTTAAAACAACATCTGTGCGCACCTGCCGGGAGGACCCGGCTGCCAGAAGGCCACTGCTGCTGGCTTCCAGCCTCAGACCCTAGGCCTCTGGGGTGTGCACCGGGCCTCCACGACGGGTGGAGCGGTGGGCGAGGAAGCTGAAGCTCCACCTAACAAAGCTTACGCCGAGACCGAGGAGGGGCCGCGGGTGGATTTTCTGGAGAGGAAGCTACGTGTGCAGCCTCCAGGAGTCGGCTTGGCACTGCAACCAGAGGGCGAACTGGGGCGGGCTGGAAGCTCCGCTGGGAAGGGGGTGCCTTTCGCTGCCTTCCAAGGGTGGGACCCGGAGCCCCACGCACTCGGAGATGGCTGCAAAGCCCCAGGAACTGGGACCATCCTCCCAGCCTGGCAGAGGAAGCTTCCAGACCTGGGGTTTGGCTAGGCCGTGTGGTCACGACGGGCGGGGAAGGACGAAGGAGCTGGCGCAAGGTTCGAGAAGCTGGCCATGCGTGGCCAGGGCCGGTGAGCACCGGTGAGAGTGGGCAAGAGCCCTTGGACCCACCCAACCTGCGTCGGAAGCTGGGCACCAGGCTCGTTCCCACACACCTCCCCAGAAGGAGATGGGGCGCGCACACACTCACCAGAGCCCTCTTCCCGGACCCTCCTTTTGGTACCGCAGCCACCCCGCCTAGATGCTGCCCAAACAGGTTTCTCTAGGATAGTCTCCCCCTCCCTAAGCAGGCAGACCCCTGAACTGGGGATGGGGTACTGGCTCAGAAGAAGGCGCGCGGCCTGGGACTATCTCTGGCTGTCACCATCCATGTCCCCCGCATCCGGAGCTGCGTCCCCACGCGCGTGTGCGCACAAACACATACATATACACTCACCCGCTCCCACACTCGCCCGGCGCAGACCCCGCCCCTGCCCCGCCCCGGCCCCTGCGGGCGGCCCCTCCAGCGCCCGTGGACCCCGCACGTTGCGCGCGCCCAGCCGGCGGGAGGCGGTGGCGATTCTGGGTGCATTTGATTTTCCCGCAGTCTGGGCGCCCCGGAGCCGGCGCCCCAAGCCGGGGAGGTGGCGCTCCGCTCCGCAGCCGCGTCCCCAGCCCCGCTGCTGTCCCCTGCGCCCAGACCCAAGCCAGGGGCGGCGCAGTCCCCGCGCCCCAAGCCACCGCCCGGCTCTCCCTCCAGTCCCCACGCCCCCCTCGGGGTCCCTCCATCCCTGAGCACCACCGCACACCCCTTCTCCCGGGGCCTGGGTTCCCAACTCCGCGCATCCATTCCCCTGGAGTCTTCTCCCCGCTGCGCCCCTCTTCCCCGCGGCCCCCAGCATCCTCGCAGCATCACCCGTGCCCCTCTTCCCCGCGGTCCCCAGCATCCCCGCAGCATCTCCCAAGCCCCTCTTCCCCGCGGCCCCCGCTCTCCGCCCCCTTCCCGCTCGCACTTCCCACGCCCCCTCTTCGCGCTCCTCTCCTCCCCTGGCTGCCCAGCTCCGGCTTCGGAGTTGGGGGAGAGCCGAGGGCTCAAGTCCCTCTGGAGGAGGCGTGAATCGCGCAGGAATATTGACTAATTTGGGGTGGGGTTCGGGGGGGGACGGTGGGCGATGGAGCAGCCCGAGGACATGGCGTCGCTCAGCGAGTTCGACTCCTTGGCGGGCAGCATCCCTGCCACCAAGGTGGAGATCACCGTGTCCTGCAGGTGAGCCACCCGCTGGCCGGGTCCCCCTGCCCCGCCCCTGGACCGTGGTCCCCGCACCTCCCACCTTCTGCCTAGAGAGCCCCCTTCCCAGTGTCCTCGTCCCCCAGGCTCCCCATTGCTGGTCTGCTGACAGCCCCCTGCCCAACCACGGATGGCGACGGCAGAACCGGCAACCAGGCTGGGGTCAGGACCCAGAAAGTTTGCGCTCCAGGCTGTTGCTTCCAGAACAGATGGTAGATACGGAAACAGGGGGTCCCTGGCGCTCACTACCGTAGGCTCTCCACTCAGGCGCTTGTCTGATCCACCCCTGCCCAAATCTAGAAGTGAGGGCGACTCACCCCGACCTTCCCAGGCCTGACCCACCCTGCCAGTGCCTTCGATGATATCTCTTCACCCCTCCTTCCCTCCTTCCCTGGCCTTCACCTCCAGCAAGGATCATCCCAGACTCAGAGAGCTGAGAGCCCAGGGCAACTTAAAGGGGCGCCATTAAAAACACCAGTAAGTTGGGTGGAAAATCTTAAGCCAAAAGAGCAAAGCTCTGATGGTGAAATGTCAGAATCTTAAGGCGAGAGGAGGAGGTGTTTTTCGGCTGCCGCCCGGTACCCAAAACTGCCACACTGGTTGGGAGTGACTTCACTCTAACCTGACTGAGCCTTTCAGATTCTAGCTAGCTGCCCCAGAGGTGGACAAAGGTTTTGCCCTGGACCAGTTACTTTGGTAGCTGGCCCTGGGGCCTTTGCCTTAATGGGTCTGTGAAGGACAGAGCAATGCAGATAAAGCCCACCTTGACGTCCCCCAAATAACTGTCAGAATTTCTGGAGACCTGGCTGTACCCAGCTTGGCTTCTTGTAAGTCATGGTTAGGTCAGACTGTATCCCCTTAACCCTGTGTTACAGAGCTGACACATTGGGGAAGGGTAGGTGGGGCCTGAGACGCTGGGTTGGGGTGTGAAAGAGGCTGGATTCAGGGGGGACTTCTCCGTGAGGACTTGGGATGAGGGTTGCTGAAGTGGTACCTCCAGCCAGGCCTCCAGGGGGCTCCTGTGGTGGCCCCCAAATACCGCCCCCAAGGTCTCCCACACAGTGCCATTTGTATCCATCTGCTCTTACTCTGAAGGGGGTTCCTGTTGGCCCATTATCTCCTGTTTCACCTCCTCAGCTGTCAGCAGCTGCTAGCCTACCTTCTTGTGTACAGCCCACCGTGCTCTGCTGCCTTCAATCATGCCTGTCACCTTCAGGCTCTTCAGTTGTCTCTCAGAGTCTTCTCACCTCTGGGCCACCTCTGGGCCCCCCCCCCCCGACTCCAACTCCTTGCACTGGCTTCTGCATCCCCCGGACCCAGAGTGCTTCCACTCACCCTCAGGTGTGCAGAGCCTTCGAGTGAACAGTGGGTGCAGGGAGCCCCCCCCCAAAAAAAAACGGGTCCTGGAACCCTCCACTCCCATGGAGAGAAAGAGAGATAATAACAAGGCTTGGAGTTCCACATGTTGTCAGGGAATCTCTGATGAGCTACTTGGGGCAAACTTTAGGCCTCAGTTTCCCAATTGTCAAGTACATTTCCTCCCTGGATGCCCTGCTCACAGAGGTAGCTCATGTGCTTAGAACAGTGCCCGGCATATAGTGGGTACGGATACATGGCTGCAGTGATCACTCTGAGGCGGCTGGTGTTCCCTTTCTTTGCTTTCTGGAAGTAGAAGCATCGGAAAGATGTGCGTGTCATGTATGAGAGGTACCCGGCATGGAGTTGCTGGAGGATGAGCTCTGGGTTGCCCCTGGTGCTCATCCCACTGAAGGACATGATCCATCACCTGGTGGAAGACCTGGCCAGGCCCTTCTGCTCTGCTGAAATCCAGAGGTTGTTTGGATGAGGAGGGATGGAGATAGAAGGGTTATTTGGATTAGAGGGGAGGTGACAAAACAGTTTGGGTGGCCTTGAGTCTATAGACCCATCTCTGCTTCAGTTATAATCAACTGTTTAGGTTGAGAAGGGGAGAACAGGGAGGAGGGGGGAGGGGGGGAGGGGAAGAGCCCACCTCTCCTGCATGTTCTTATTGTGTGGTTACTAGTCAGAGAACCAAGTTCCTTCCCCTGCAGCCTGGATCAGCACTGACTGAACCTCAGAAGCAGAGGCTGTGGGGTGCCCTGCCCTGAGCACTCCAGTGACCCCTAGTGGGGGCAGGCATAGGGGCCTCAAGATGGACAGCTGGGGGGCAGTGTCTTAGGGAGGCCAATGAACTGCCATCTCTGGCTTTCATGCCCACCCCCTAACCCCTACTTCTGGAGTCCTCCGCTACCCTGCAGCCCGAGGAAGGTTCTAGATATCTGTTGTGCCTGACCTGGGTACTCCTAGCTGAGCAAGGAATATGGCCCTAGATCTTACCCAGAACACTACAGGGCCCAGGAGTATGCAAAAGACAGATTGGGCCTTCATCTCTGTAAAGCACATCTTGGGCCTATCCATGATCCACTCCCAAAAGGCGATTATCACTGACTTCGGTAGGCACAGGGCTGAAGATTTGAGAGCCCTATGTTGTTTGATACGGTGATTAAGAATCGAGAGTTGGCTCAGCCATTAAGAACACTAGCTGGTCTTGCAAAAGACCCAGGTTGGAATCCCAGCACCCACATGGCAGCTAACAACTGTCCATAACTCCAGTCCCAGGGGATCCGACAGGCTCTTCTGTCCTCCACGGGCATTGTATGACACAGGTGTACATAAAATAAAAATAATAAAATATTTTAAAAAAGAATGTGAGACTAGCTCTGTCTCCCAGAGTTCAAACCTCAGCACCTCCACCCTGCTGTGCACACATGTGTACTGTGCTTGATGCTAGGGATCAAATCCATGTCAGGCAAGCCCACTGAGCTACACTCCAGCTCTGTTCCTGTGATCTTGGGGAAGCTCTTTCTACTGTGTGGCTTCAGTTTCCTCCTCTGTAAAGGAAGCAACAATGATCCTTGCTAAGAACAAGGCACAGTGGTGTATGCAAGAGGTAGAGGCAGATCTCTGTATTTGAGGCCAGCCTGGTCTAAATAGAGTTCCAGGTCAGCTAGGGCTACATAGTGATACCCTATCTCAACCCAACGCGCCCCCCCCCTTTAAGAACAGGGATTCAGTGGTTCAGTCTCTGAACAGTGACTGGTGTCATCTGTAAGCATCACCATAAAGAAAGATCTGTGTCTGTTACCGGGTGCCAGGGTTATCTGGTGCCTGGAGGTCAGTTGATGGAGAGATTAATTACTGGAGGAAAGATGGTTTGTGGAGCTTGATACTAGCAAATGTGTCAAAAAATATGACTTTAAAGACCCTTTGAGCCCAGAGTACTTCCTTCCTGATCTTTTGTTCCAGACCTTTGCTGACTTGTTAGCCATCCTGAAGACCCATCTGAAGCTTTCCTATCCTATGTCTCCTTCCCCAAAGGTCTGCATTCCTGTGACACCAGGAGTTACACAAGCTCAGGGAAGAATGGCTTGCAGTTCAATGTTGAAAGAAGCCTTTGCGCTTGGGCAAGGTCATGTTGGAGAAGTATACAGGGGCTTCTGAGACCAGGGGAGGGAGGAAGAGAGAAGCCAGGGGCAGGCTTGGTGCCTGCTTTGCTGGCATCTCAGGCAGCTGCCCTTTCCTGCCAGCTGGCAAGGGCTGGTGGGCAGCTGGACCTCTGCCCCAGAGGCTGATTGCTGTTGTCTGTTCTGGCTGGCATTCAGCACCCTGGGCGGAGAGAGGCAGCCCAGCCTGGAAGCTTCGTCCTGGGCCTTTCAAAGGGTGTGAGTCCATTCTGACAAGCCGGGAAAGGTTGTGGGCACAGATGGGCCTGGGGCATGATGGCAACTGTCAAAGCCAGCACTAAGAAGTCTATTTAACCATTGATCACACCCAAGCACTCAGAGGAACCAGGGGAAGAGTCACTGTGGCACATGCTGGTCCCCCACTCCAGCTGAGCAGTTGACCTCCCTGTTAGATGGGACAGTACCACTGCCTCTATACAGCTGTCTCCAGGCTCCAAAAATGGCAGTTTTGGAATTAGTTTTCAGTTGCTGCAGAACAAATGACCACAGTGGCTTGGAACACATGACTTTATTCTCCTTCCCCAAGGTTCTGTGGACCCACAGTCTAGACTTAGTTAAGCTCTGTATCTCCAGGCTTAGACTTCACCCAAGTTGTGGGTCTTGGCCAAGCTCACTGGCTGCTAACAGCACACCAGGACTGAGTCCTGGTGTCTGGCTGGTATGTACCAGAGTGCCCCCCCCCACTTCCCAGGAGTGTCCCTCAGGTTCCAGCTAGGGGCCTTCCACAATAAGGCAACTGGCTCCTTTGAGGCCAGGGGAGGCTGGCTCCTCAGTGGACTGTGACAGATAGCTGGATGTGAATTCTTGGGTCCCACAGGAAGGGCACACATCACCTTGTCTGTGTCATCGTCCAGGCAAGTCCACATCCTGCCCATAGGTGTATTCATGGAGGACAGGAATATTGGAGGTTGCACTATAATTCTTTCTACCTCAGCCATTTTCCTTTCTCCATTCATTTTTGGGTGTGGTGTACATGCTTGCCTCTGTGTGTGTATGTGTGTGTGTGTGTGAGTGCGCACGTGAGAGTACATGTGTGGGTCTGAATGTGGAGGACCGAGGTTGATGTTGGGGATCATCCTCCGTCCCTCTTCTATCTTGTTCATAGATGCAGGACCTCGCAGTCAAACCCAGAGCTTGTCCATACGGCTAGTCTCTCTAGCCAGCTGGCTCTGGGGATCCCCTGTGTCTGCCTCCAGGGGCTGGAATTACAGCGGGACACCCATGTGGCATTTCTGTGAGTTTCTAGGGATCACCATTCTCCTGCTTACAGAGCAAGTACTTTGATAGCTGAGCCATCTCCCAGCCCCATTGTAGCCTTTTAACTTCCTACCAATCCTCTGAGATAGAGACTAGGGTCTCCTCTTTGACTCCTTAGGAGATTGAGGCTCAGAGAGTCCAAGCCACCTGCCTGAGGTGACTGCCAGCTGGTTTTGG